TGTTAGGCACTTTGCCAAATTATTTTCTTTTTTTTTTTCAATATTATCAGCTGTACACAACGTCATTTTTTTCTCTGACACACAAGATCAATTTCTGCTCAAATGTAGACAATGAAACATTTGTTTTTAAAATATCTTTGAACATTTGAGATGAGCAAAACACATTTTTATTTAACAGTCAAATAGACGGGGTAAAATTAGTTGACCAGATACCGCAAACCAAAAAAAAAAAAACAAGCTTATACCGTCTTCTACATACTAATTTATTGTGTTTTTACAAATCAACGATAGTGGAGATACTATTATTTCACAATGACCTTTGACCTCAAGCTACCTGGAATTCGATGTATGCCATGTATCAAAGCTCCAGGGTGATTGATATCGTGAGTGTAGTATATTCCATTTGAAAATTAGGGATACAGGAACCAATCACCCGAACGTGAGAGGCATGTGTTAACTGACTGAATGTCCCCAGAGTACGCCATTTTATTTATTTCAAGTCTGATAACACGCTCATACCTCCGGCGTATAAAGTGTTCCCTTACGATAACTTTTATCTTCGACTTTATAGATTTCAGACCACAGCTGTAACTTGTACACATAGAGTCACGTAGACACTCGTATTACCAAAATAATCCAACGATTTTGGATTTTAGTTAAAAAACAGCAGATTTTAAAATATGGATTACATTTACTATGAACACTTAACGTGGTCGTCATTTTCCAATATTCTGGCATTGTCAGATATAACTATTCACGACTAAAGAAATCACTTTGGCCATATCGAACATATTTGATACCAGCCGAGATTGTAAAACAAATATGGACATTTGTATGTTCTACAAAACATGCTCGTCCACACTCGTGCTGTCGTTCACTACAGAGTGGTAGTATAAGCGGCCAGGGTTGACAACGTGGTGGTCCGCTTTAGAGTGGGCGATCACGTGGTGGCGCTAATCACATAATATGTAATTCAATAATCGTACAGTATTACAGTGACACGAATTGCGTAAACATCGAGTCTTTGACGTCAATATTGAACATTGCATATGTTAATAAATGTAACAATGGGCGAATCCACACTTCTCAGTGCTTAATGATCCATCAATGAAAAAACAATTTCGACAATAAATTCAACAAATTATAGTGAATCAACCAAAAACTAAAGCGTCACACATGGACATAGGTGGCAAGTAATCCCATTCGTCAATCATAGATATGTATTTGTCGGGTAACCCTGACTACCAAACATGGGTTTCCGGTTTCTTGACATATCTTTAAACATTAGTGCCGCCAACCTGAAAACATAATGACGACACACGTACTTCAACGTCATTATTGTTGTAATGACGTCACTAATCCTTACGTCATGTTTTCAATTATTCACGATGACACCGCGCTGTTCAACGTTCTATGGTTACGTAATTTTTTTAACAGAAGAAGTGATAAGTATTGGACGACTGAAGTTTTGACGTTTAAGTACGTTCAAGGTGCAGTATGTAACAACTACTGGTGTCAAAGTCGTTTATTCCGAGTACGCTGCGTAGAGCGCCCTCTTCCTGAACGGACCCAGTGATTACGTAGCCGACATTTTCCACATCTTTCAAAATGCTGTACCACAGACGAACCACGTCAACGTCACTTCCGATGATTTCAAATCCCCTCCAATGTAAACAGATTCTCAATATCAATTGACGGATTTTAAACAACAATCGGTCTTCTAGTAAATTCTGAAGTATTTTCCACTCTGCTCCCTTTAAGTCAGCTACAGCGACCTCTATCTGTGAAAGAGAATCATTATAGATTAAATGCGAAGCTACTTAAAGGCG